TTGTTTCTCATCCTGGAAGACAGTTTCGATATATGATCTAGCAGAAATTTCTGGACAGGCTTGGTCTAAGGCATCTACACCTGCAAACATTTTAAAAGACAATTATATGCTGAGAAGGACATATGCGTCATGTGTGGTGAGGCTGGCCGAGACAACGAAATGTGGTTTCGTTGCAGAAATTGTGCCAAGTGGGCTCACGAGCTCTGCACGAGTGTTTCTAGTGCAGTTGATTACATTTGCGAATTTTGCATACATGAATAATCTTATTATTTCAATTTTTGTTTCAATTAAAAATACTTCAAATGTGTTTATTTCCATGAATTTGTTGCTATTCTTTAATGGTCCATTTGGTACTTTACCCGGTCCATCCAGTACACCGCTATTGTACCGAATGGACCACCAAAAAAATTGGAACAACCCACCTTAAAAATTAAATTATAAAAAAATTACGTTATTTGGAAATATTAAAAAAATACCGTCAACTGTGCAAGATAATGACAAATCAAGATCAGTTATTAAAATAGCGATAGCTGATTTTGTTGAGCAAAGAAAAAATATTTAGTGAGCGACAAAAAAAAGCGGTCCATTCGGCCCCCGTCTCCCCTACATTATATTGTTTAAACTGTTCACTAGATTCTTTAATGTTCGGGATATTTAAAAATAGAATTTTACTTTACATTGTTTTGCATTATATTGTTTAAATGTTTGACTTTTAAATTGATTAAAAATTAAAAATAAGTTTGAATTATAATTTGACTAATAATAATAATAAAAACTAAAATTTCGGTAACTTTTGAGCCCCCCCAATAATTTGAACAACTCGCCGCCTATGGTTGCTATTATTTATATTTATATTTTTATATTTATACATTTAAATTTTACAATCGCTGTTAAGTGAGGTGTAATCTCAAATTATTCTGAGTTCTCCATGGAAAATTCGAATTGGTGCGTACATTTGTAGCAATATTAACTGTTGTTTAAATAAATAAATATGCATAAGGTAATTAAAATTCATGTATAAAAATAATTATTAAGAATTATTTATTCATTCATACGCACATATAAAAAGCAATATAGCAAATCGAACTAGCCAAACCGAAAGCTTAAGAGGCGTTCGTTGACGTCAATTAAAGTTTGATTTAGCAATAGCATGGTTGTTAAGACTGTATAATGTTTATTAGTGTTTTAAATACTTTAAATATATGTATTTTTACTGATGTCAATGATTGAAATGGTAAGGATGTACGGTTGAAACGAGTTGATAGGAGCTGAAAAGGCACGCAGGGAGACGACGATCTCAAATCAGCTCGGCTATACGTGCACCAGAAGAAAGATATTAAATATGTTTAAATGTTATGCAAATGCATGAAATAAAACAATTAAATATAATTGAAATAAATAACATTTTTAAAAAATGAATAAATATTCATCAATAAACTGAAGATGTGAAAATTTGAAAAATAATTAACTGTTCATGGAAACTAAAGAATGAGACCAGGCTCTAAATTGCCCTGAAAAGGTTCCGGTTGCGTTCGAGGGCCTGTATATGTATTTTAAGTATTTGTTGGCACGTGTATGAGCGTCTGGTCTCAATTTTTACTGATTGGTTTTATTATGAATAGTTTTTTTATTTGAGTTGTTTGTTGTTATGTTCTAATTTGTTTGTTTTAGGTGGTTTTTCTAGTGAGCGAGGTTCGTGGTGGAATGTTGCTCTCTCTCACACACACATACACACACAAACCATTTATTTAATTGTTTGTGTAGTGATATCTTCTGTTCTGCTTTACTCTTTTTTCTCATTTTCTTCATGAGTTTTAGTTGAGGTAATTAAACATAAATATTAATTAATAGAAGATATTTAGGTCTGATAGGTAAGTTACAGCCTGAGTTGAGTTACATGGGTGAATTTAAGCATTTCTTTAGTTTTGTTTTTTGGAATTATAGGTTACGAACTATTATTTAAATAAATTATTAACAAACATCCGAGTGTACCAGATTTGAAAGAGTTGGCTAAATCCTAGTAATCAACATTTTAAATGTCCAGGATCAGATTTATCGGTGGAAAGGCCCGGAAGCAATAATGAATGTGGAGGCTTTCAATTTAGTGCAAGCTCACAATCATTTCAATTATAATTTCAGTATCAACATGGCACCAATTAGTCTTTGTAAAGTTGGCGAACTTTTTTGAGACAATTGATTTCGATCGATGATTTTTTTACAAATGTCGTGTGGTGAATAATGTTAAAGTTATGTCTTCTTTTTTGTAGAGGCCCTTTTTTGTGGAGACTCCACAAGAAAGACGATATACCGCCACCTTTGTTTTACATCCGGCTCTGTGAATATCATTAAATCTTGCTACCATTACTTGACCGTCGTCAAAGATCTGCTATTTTCGTATGTACTCGAACGAACCTGCCACTCAACATCATGCAAGTCGAGGTTCTGGTGCATTAATGGTGTCGTGATGACGATGGAACTTAGCGAGGCGTGCTTCCATATTTTTTTAATATAAATATTCAAATTTATTGTTTGTGTCATCTTATATCCTTTAACATTAAGCCCATGGACCGTACGGAGCTTCATGAATTTTTTATTTTTATATCATAAAATGTATTGAAAAAGAAAGGTGAACCAAGATAGGGCACCAAGAAACTTCCAAAAAATGAATTATTTAAATGATATAACGTAAATTGAATTTTTTTGAATTGTTTTTTTAGTGATTCTGTCAACTATTTTCTGATCTTGCCTTCAAACTGCATTCAGAAATTTTTGACTCGTCAACGAAAAAGCGGCAAGCAAACTTTTCGAACCATCAGTTTACAGTATTATTTTAAAAATCGTTAGTTTTATTACTGCACTTTCAAAAAGAAACATTTACTTTTTTGAAATTTTTATATTTGTTTATACATACTGATTATAGCCTATCTCAATGTTTTTTCTTTAATGTATTGATTTTATACTGTTCCTTCCATTTAACTTTCATCAACTTTCCTTGCCCAGTTTTTCAAAAATCTTAAATGTCCATTAAATAATGCAATTAGAATATTTAAAAAATTTGAACACATTAACGTTAAAATAAACCGAAAAAAGGTTTGGTAAAATCGTTCACCATTTTTTATCACATTTCATTCGAATCACCAATTTGTTGTCAATTATATTTAGTATGAAAAAGAAAGAGCAAATATTTTTATTGTTTTCAAGAATAAATTTGAGAAAATTTGAATGAATGAGTGAAAGTTGATGAAAGTGGAGTAAAAATATTTGATGGCACGCGTGTTAATCTTGCGAGATGAAATATCGTCAGGCAGGTGATTCTGCAGCTAGCTAGAATATGTAAATGCTGGCTTCTTCTTTTAATAATTTATTCAACTCGCTTACTTGAAGTTTCATTTTATGAAAATAAATTAACCTCTGTATTACTGAAGGCTAAAAATTAAAAAAAAACTAATCCAGGAGACAGTTTGATGAATAAAAATATATTTAAACAAATTTTTCAACGGTTTAGCAAACATGAAAAGCAAATAAGAACGTTAAACGTTCTAAGAAATCTGATTAAATGGCTTTCAAAAAATGCATTAGCTAATAGGTTTTTGAAATTCCACATCGTCTCTTTTGTTGGATTGCATCAAAATCAGTTGTTTTTATAATTATTTTCATGGACTACTTCAGCGAATAACTTTAAAAAATTAAATAAGTTAAAATAAAAATAGGCAAAAATAGATAAACTTAATGAAATTTAAGGTGTTCACCAATTTAACGGTTAAATAAAATATAAATGTGATCAAGTTTTATTTGTGCTAGATTCAAGGATTAATTGAGTATAAACACCACTTAACTAGCACGCGCATTTATGCAAACGATGGCACATAGATGCAGAATTTAACACTATCCCAATCCTCTTGCATGGTTATCATCTTTTAGATTTTCAAAACTTTGTAATTCATAACTGAAGAAGTTGCGATAAGGAAAGCAATCATTTTTTATGCTGCTCGTTCCGGCTTCTATGGCTTTTTGATGGCAAACATTTATCAGCCGTAAAAAATTTCCAACCTATAAATATAAATGTGAAAACTTTAGTTTTCCTTTATTATTTATACATTACATAAATACAAACACATTGATTAATGATAAGATGTATAATCGTTTTTACCACATAAAGCAGCAGAAAAATAAAAATAAGTGTGTTGAGAATTTTTAAGAAACAGCGCGCGGACCAATCAACCACCGAACGAATTATCGATGTCAGTGCTTCGGGCAGAAATTTCACATTTGAGCCAAAAGTAATATCATGAAAAGCATTCTTTGTTTCTAACTTTTACAACACTTCCCCTCTGCGAACTGCTTTGTTAATATCTATACACCGCGAACACATCCTACAGCGCTTAACATACTTATTTTTATTCCAGCCGTTTGAAGTTACGTCACTTTACACCATACAATAAACCTAAATGAAAAAAATCGTATTAAAAAAGTCATTAGAAAAACTGTTCGCCAATATACCATGTTATAAGGGCATGAGAGACTTGCACGGCAAAGAAGCTTGGAATAAATGATGGCCAGCAAGCAACTGCAATAGATCATCTCCTTTGATTCATCTGCCCTTGGGAACCATCAAGCATCCAAATGATGACGCAATCTTGACCGGAAGTTATGTGGTCACGTGAGGAAGTGTGAAACGTCATTGTGCTTGTGAATCCATGTACAAACAAAAGATAAATACTGTTTCCATGACTACCCAAATGATAAATTACAAAAATGTCTTTGTAATACTATCATTGTTTTACTTTTGTACTATTGTTTCACAATGCTCCAGTTAACATCGTCCTGTTTGAGACGTGTTTTTATGCTGTGAACTTAAAAATTGAAAAATCTTCGCGTTAAAAATTTAAAATATGAAAAATAAAACTACTTACAGTATGAACTGCTGGCAGTAAATCTGCCAAATTATTTTTTAATAAAATATTTCAATATTGGCATGCGTAAATAAATTAATATGATTAGGCGAATGAAATCAACGGATAGATGCATGGTAGTTGTAAAAAGGTGAAGCAATAATTTTTTTTCAAATCATAGGACAAATAAACAATCTTGCCGAAGTCTTGAGTTGACAACATGAAAAACATACTGAACATCAACGAGACCAGCAACTTCAATAATTCATCAACACCGGACAACGTACTCAAGGCATACAGCCGTTCTTTGCACATTACATTCTTCAAGCGTATGTGCCTATTTTAGTGCGTACAACCGATGAAAGTCTT